GCTGCTTTCTCTCTCTCTCGTCTCTCTCTCGTCTCTCCTCTCTCCTCTGCTCTCTTCGCTCGTTTGACGCTGCCTCGCTATCTCTGTTGTGCTCACCTGCTAGTTTTCACTCCTTCACAGCTGTTCTGTGTTTGTTCTATTCTCTTCTCTCCGGTCTCCTCTGCTTGGGCTCTACACCACACACACGCGCACGCCCACGCACGACACACACACACACACACACACACACACACACACACACAACACACACATACACACACAACACACGCGCCACACACACACACGCACACCGCACGCACGCAGACACACACACACACCACACACACACCACACACACACACACACACAACACACACACGACCCACACGCACACGTACATACATCAACACACGCGCCGCGCACACACCGCACACGCCACACGCTCACAACATCACACACACACGACACACACCACACACCACACACACACATACACACACAGCACACACATCACACACAACACCACACACAACACACACACACACACACACACACACACACACACTACACACACACACGACAACACACGCGCAAGGCAACGTGCGCATGCCACGCACGTGCACGTACGCCACACACGAGCCACTCCCAAGCAGTCTTGAGGCCTTCCCCGCCCCCTCTCTCTTCTCTCGCTCGCTGCACCCGCCCACGGGAAGTCGTCAGGAGGCGAGTAGTGTCTAGTAGGGCGCGGTCGCGAGGGCTTCTACAACTTCCGCTTATTAATTTGGCTATGACGGGCTCTTAATGCAGGTTTTTTCGTCTCACGCTTCCTGCGTTTTAGTTCTTCGTGTATGGTGGTGCTGTGGGTGTAGAGAATATAGCCTCTGCCTTCGCCCCTTCGCGCTGTCGGCCCGTACCCTGCTCGTCATGTACACTCCCGTTTACTAGCGGCCGCGCGGCTCGCATCTAACTCGCGAAAAGGCCTACAGCTGATTCCGACCGAGCCGAGCTAAAATTCAACGACGACGTCCTAGGCAACGAAGACAACGCGGAGGCTAGCTGCCAAGCTCCGACGCCGCGCGCAGGGTTCTCACTCCACCCCGTCTCGTATATCTTGCGCGCCACGCGACACACCAACCGCAGTTCAACATAATAAACGACCAGTGGTGAACAAGTTGAGCACCGCTGCCAGCTACGGTGAGCTAACGTGATTTATATGCTGTAAAGAATGCGCGCGCATGGAAAGGGGACAACACGGAAGATAATCCGTATGATTGACCGAGCTCCGCGCATTGGTGTGGCATGTGCCGTTGGCAAGGAGAGGGCTACTCCTCTGCCTCTAATGTTTCTACCTTTTCCATCAGACATTTCTTAACACTATTAATGCTATTAAAACTAGAATAAACAGAATTTGTCCTAACTTGCTGTGGTAGAGAGTTCCAAGCTTCAATTGCAGTATTAAGTATAAAAAAAAGTATATAAGTCAAAGAGTTTTTCCCACTGCTTCCCACCCTCGGTTTAAAAATAGACATCTCGCCTTCCTTTGTCTTGCGTACTTTTTCTGGTGTTTTAAAAAGCTACCGAAGGCCATTTAGGGGGGTTTGGAGATTTTTTTTTAAATTGGGGCATTCTAAGAGCATCTGAGCAGTAATCTATGTCTAGAATGCAAAAATTTATCAGATCCGGTCCCCCGGACGCCTGCGGACCCCTCTTTGCCCATTTCTAGGTTTTTATAACGAATTTACATATATATTTAAGTAAATCTTTATCAGAAAAACTAGCGCTAAACAAGATTTTTTTATGGAGACAATATAAGAGAAGTGGAGGTGTGTGTGTGTGTCTTTTTTTTCTTTTTTGTGGTAAAAACGGGGGGGGGGTCCGGACCCCCTCGACCCCCCTCTGAATCCGCCCTTGTGCTCTAGTACCTAGGTTGAGAACACATCTAATGGCTTTATTTTGACACACTTGCAGCTTAGCCCTTGTGCGCTTTGTGAGACTGCTGTACCATATATATACTGCTTGCATAGTCAAAATGACATTGAATTAGGGCAGAAACTAGTAATCTTTTATTGTTAACCGTTTTTACAACCTTAATTCCCGTTACTCTTTGTTCTAAAAAAATTGTAAAGAAAAAATAGGGTACAATTCTATATCTCGCATTATTTTGTGTGGTACGTGCTTTTTATCGTATATTTGTGTATTTGCTGTTATATTGTTTTACTGCGAGTCGGGATTTGTATTTAAGTTAGCGCAAAAACAGCATGTGCATGTTCTAACTTCTAAGATAGAATGATATCAGTTCGCATCATAGAGATGTATTAATAAACACTATTATATTTATTTATACACCTCTATGGTTCGCATCAACAATGTGCTCGCATCTGCGTGGTGAGTCGGCAGATCCCTTAGCTGACCGAATACGTCACTAACCCCGAGTATTTGTAACGAGGCAGTCAATTGGTCTAGCGAGCTGAGTGCCGTCACGTGACGAGGCATGACCAATCGTATATATCCACATTACACCATTGTGAGTGCACAGACCGACGCAGTTAGGTTTGTCAGCAGCAGTAGTGAAACTCTTTGGTTTGTATGCTGTTGCTCTCTCGTTTTTGCATGTTGTAGGAACCTACGTTTGTTATATCGCAAAAGAGTGTAAGCGTGAAGTTAAATTATTTAGGAAACATGAGTTCAATATCTATCTAGGTTCGATCGTTCTATTTGGTTCGTAATCAGTGATTCGGCCATCTCGTGGAATTTATTTCGCAATGCAAATGCAGAAAAGCACTACATGGTTCGATAAACATATTCCTCAGTCATTGTGAGAACGAACAACATAGCTCGATTATTCTTACTTCGATTTATAATCGATCAAACAATCGTAGGTTTATATCGTAGTGCAGCTAATGTAGATAGGGTTTCGTTTCCCAGCACTACTATAACAATCTGAACACGGCCCATTAAATATGATAATAATATTGTACGCGTTGTTGTCATGTTTTGAATGGGTTTACATCATACATGTACTCCTGCTTTCGGATCCATAGGTTTTAACTCCCTTATAATAGTAGCGATCACCATTTGCCTGTAAACTGGATGTCATGCTTCGTAACATGTAAGATCTGCATGGTCCTACGAAACCTATGTTCAATGTGTACGGTTGAAGTTGTGTGGCCATGGATTGCTCTGTGCTCTGTGTCTAACTCATCGTATCTGTTGACTCTTCAGTGCTCTTCATATTATCGGGGTGGTTTGAAGTGGCACGCCGAAGCAGCGGAACAGGAGTACCGACCGGTGTGATTCCCTAAACTAAAGGTGTGAATCCAACATCGAGGATGGAGCAAGCTCACACGAAGTCTGTGGCGGAGACGCTATCGTATTTTAGTGTCAATGAAGAAACCGGCCTCACTCTGGAACAAGTGAAGGCGAACACAGAAAAATATGGACCTAATGGTAAATCTCGCAACCAGTTTGGATATCGTTTAATCGCGTCCTCCTGCGGTTCCTGCATTGCCCATGTCCGGATGCCTTTGTGTCAAGCTTCATAGTTTTATGTGAGAGTTTCTCAGTTTTGCACCTTGCGGTGTCGTGTCTATGAGTTTGCCATCGAGAGGCAGATGTGGTTTGTATGTTAGCAGTGTTCGCCCTTAGCGAGCATACATCCGTAATCATGATAGTGGCATTATTTACCAGTGACGGTATCTCTGTTGTGTAATAGGCAGAAAAATGAAGAATTAGTTTTATATAAGCCACTGTTAGCTTCAAAATATGTAGGTATGTGAACCTTGCTATCACGTTAATGCTAAATGTTCAATGTAAATCCCTTATCTAAAATTCTAGAAACCAGTCGCGCTTCGATATTTAAAATTTGCTTGCATGTGATCGTGTGTGTTAATTTTAACTGCCGAAAAGACGTAGCTTTAACTACTGCTGCCAAAGTCATTTCAGACCCTAGCCTGAGTAAGCTTGAACGCTGTGCAATGCAAACCCTGGGCTGCAGCTTCAGTGCTAAAAATAGTTCCGCAACCGATTGGGTTTCAAGCAACTTTTGGTATCACTCTGGTAAAGAACTGAAAATCTGTTCTGTTTTAGCCCACTTGCACTCGGCAGACCCCGAATAACTCGTTGGCCCCTGTTCGGCGTAAATTAGCAAGAATTAACTTATGTTGCTCCTCTTGTCTGACACATCGCCGGATATGGCAGCAGGGTTTGCTTTCGTTAAACGTATCTAAACGGACGTTGAAATGGCCGTCTGAAATCTGCAGGCAGCTGCTGTTTAGTCGAAGTACTATACGCGTTAGAATGTATCTTTCTGCGCGAACTCAGACGAAAGTTTGCGAGCGGTAATGCATTTTCAGCATCCTCTGCTCTCTGTCCATCCGCGGAAGAGCCCGCTCACTGCCCACTGACCCAATTCGGGTAAATAATTTCGGGGGGGGGGGAGGGGTATAGCTGTACGCTTGCACTTTGCAACTGTGTGAGAATTCGGAAAGAACTTCACTCTGACATTGCCCCCACCCACCCATGTAATCAAACCACAATCACCAGCACAATGCAGGATGTGGGAACATTGCGGAAGCAATGAGGTCATAACGATTGATAAGGTCATGGCAATCGGTAAGGTCATAGCAGTTATTCTTAGTGCATAGCAATTGATAACGTTACAGTACTCACTTGATCAACGGTGTCATAGTAATCATTTACGTTGTATTAATCGGTGAAGTAGTGATCGCTAATCTCTTGATGATTGGTCATAGTGATTGGTCACTGTGTTTGGTAGTGTTGTAGTGATCAATGGTGTCATATAGCGATCGATGGCGCTGTAGTGATCAATGATGTCACAGTGATTATTAATGTCATAACGAGTGATGACATCATGATGTTTTATGATGTCATTGGAATTGATGACATCATAGTCGTAGACGGGTTTATACTGGTGAGAAATTAAAATAGCATGAGTCAAGTTATTCTATGGCATTAGGGAAATCAGATTGTTGGGACTTGTGTTATAACTTACATAGCTCTGGTTTGGCTTGTGGTTTAGTTTATTACGATCATCTAATGAATTATGCTAGGTGAGTCATCATGACGTAATGATGGTATAATAATGTCCTTTCTTTGTTTATTGCAGAATTGCCAGCAGAAGAGGGTAAGTTGACATACAATCTTTCTCCTTGCATGTGCAATAAAATGTGGCAGTGCATGTCTGTTTTTTGGGTGAAACCATGTTGGGTGAACCTGAAGTTGATTCAGGCTGATTTGTAGCTCTACTGTAAGCCAGACGGGCTACTCTATACCCGGATAGACCCACCTAAATCACTTGGGCTCAGAAGGTATTCCTAAGTGAAATACTCGTAATGTTTTTCCGATTTTATGGTGAGGCTTGTTCTTCAGCCAGATAGCCATGGTTACAATGTGCACTGTCTCAAAAACTAGGGCAGGCTATGCGTGCAAACGTCACAGTGTGAACTCACAAGAAAGTGCCGCATTGCTGGAAGCTGATAGAATGCATCAAATCGTAATGGTCAGCTAATTTAGCACTGTGGCGAAATCGCATGCGCGCCGCTCGTGAATGCTGTGGTGGGAAAACGAGAGCTGCTGTATGCAGGATAGCTATTCTCGACAGCCTTGGAGGCGGAAATGAGAAGCCGAGACCCGGCATTCTACTGCGAACCAGGGGCGATCGCAGCATGCACCACGTAGATGCAGTGGAATGTCAGCGTTTGCCACTGTACGGTTCTGTTTCACATTCCCCTGTGGGAATTCTCGCACCTCGTAGCAAAGAAAAACGAGAGCAAGATGTTGCTGTATTTAGCCGATATCCAAGGAAGCTCTAAAGCGAAGCGAAAACGCCACCGAAAAAGCCTCGTAGCAGGTTCGAAAGTGAACGTAGATCGGATTGATGCACCTTTCCATGTGTGAACTGAGAATGGTGAGAAAAGTTTTGGCCATTCACGTTGTGGACAATTTCTGTGCCTTCACTGGGAGATATTTCTTATCAGTAATGTCTGGAATAGTTGGGAGTAAATGCAGGAATGTTAAGGGGAAAGAAAACAAGTAGACAGATGCTTTAAATTGTGACATATCATTGTCGGCTTAGCGCACAGAAAACACAGGAGCTGTGAGAGGTGCAGGGAGAGGGAGGAGTTGTAATATGTGCGAGGGGGAAGAAGCTAGGTTCTGTGCCATGTCAGGGAGGGAAAGTAGGAGCTAAGGGAGGTGAAGGAAGGACGATTGGATGTGTACTGTCAGAAGGGGAGAAGGTAGGAGCTGTGACAGGTGGAGGAAGGGGAAGGAGATGGGAAATTTCAGAGGGGCGAGAAGCCAGCAATCACGAGATTAGAGAGTGAAATGCAGAAGCAGTGAGGTGAATGGAAGTATAGTTGCTATAAGATTTAAGAGTGGGAGAAGAAGGAAGAGCAAGTCAGGAGCATGCCAAAAGTTCCTGACACTATCCGAAAAAAGTTTTGACTCGATTCGTATTATTCCACAAATCGTAGCCTTCCATTGAAGCTGTTCACTCGGACCTTTATCACCTATTTGCTTTCATGTGGTATTCATTGTCCCCCCTTTTCTTATATGATAGATGGTACATTGAACTTATCTACTCTCCCAACTGTCATGTGAAATCAATACAGCACTGAGCAGCATCATTGCTCCAGGCCCTTCGCTGTCATCTGTCTATGTATACTATAATTTGGCTAATCTTGTGTGTGTGTGTGTGTGTGTGTGTGTGTTTGTTTGATCTCGATGTTCTCCGTGATTTGTCACTCAATCGCGGTAACTGTGGTAAGATATATCAGAATCACCACGTCTGGGAGATGGTTCTGGCTGAGACAAAAATTAAAAAAAGTTGAAAGTAAAAAAAAAATTGTAAAAGTAAAAATTCAATCATCACGTACGTGGGAATTGTGTCGCGTGTCTTGCCCGCCGCCGTAGCGTAGTCGGTAGGAGCACAGTTTCATAACCCGAGATTCCGGATTCGAATCTCAGCTGGGGGGAAAAATTTTCACCTTTACTTTTTTACTCTTAGTATCTACTTCTGCCACTTCAGCGTTAATTTCAAAATGTAAAAAATAAATTTTACTACATTCATTAAAAAAATTGAAAAAGATTCAAAAGTTAAAAAAATTACCATTTTTTTTACTATTATTATTATTTATTATTATTTTCATGTTCTTTATATTATTCATATTATTTTTTATTGTTTTGGATTGCGATGGGATGGATAGAAGACGACTGGGGGTGGATGGGCATGATGGGTGCATGGGTGGCATGGGATAGGATGAGATGGGATGGCATGACAATGCCGATGGTGGATGATGGGGATGGCTTTGGTATCTGCGCTTGGGGATGGCACTGAATGGATTGCATGCATGGGCATGCTGATAGATAGATAGATAACTAGATAGATAGATAGATAGATTTTGCTGGTATTTCCTTTCAACAAGTGATGTCACCGAACTAACACTTTTTCACCTATTCACTTATAGAATTGCGCTCTTTGTTTCTTCCCAAAATGTTTTTTTGTTTCTGTTTTCTTTTCAGTTGCATAAAATATTTAACTTCAACTGTGTCACTTACATGAAGTTTATATTTTAAGGCACGATTTGGTCGTTGTACGGGTATTAGTCTGCTAGTACATGTCATATAAAGTTGTTTAGCCGAATTTGTGTGTTTGCGCATAACTAGAGAACTCCGAAGCCTAGAGGAAAACTAGATATATTTTCAGAATCAGCACGTCTGGGAGGTGGTTCTGGCTGAAATTTCAAAAAAGTTAAAAAGTTAAAAATTTATAAAATTGCTATTCATCCGTAGATGGCGTACAGATTAACATTATACATCACGTACGTGTCAATCCATGGTGTATAACCATAACTGCCCAGTAGCCGAATGGATAAAGCATCGGACTCCTAAACCATTGATTCTGGGTTCGAATCCCACCTCGGGAAATGCTTTGTTTCTTTACTTTTGGACTGTTTAGTATGTACTTCTGCCGTATTCACCGTTAATTTCAAAATTTAAATTTTTTTACTACATTTAAACGTTTAGTAAAAATCCAGAATAAACTATGGTAGATGATAATGATAGCGCAAACTGACGGGAACACTTCACGGAAGCCTATGTAGGTTACATATCAAATATTATTATATTTTCTATATAATTTCATTTTATTATATATAATTTTTGACTTTTTTATTTTAATGACTTTTATCTTTTGATTTCTTATTATTTTTTACTGTTGGGATGGGATGGGATGGCATGCGATGCGATTGGATGGATATAGGATGGCATGGCATGGGATGGCATGGGATAGGATGGGATGGCATGGGATGCGGTGCGATGGGATGGGATGGCATGGCATGGCATGGCCTGGGATGCGATGAGATGGCATGCGATGGGATGGGATTAATAATGGGCAGCATGTACTATCCATTCTTTTCAAATTTTAGGTGTTTGGGTTGGGGTCTGTCTCATCTTGGGTCAATGGTTTTGTTCAAATTCCGTTACTTATTAAACAAACATAGACACTGACGAACAGTTGCAATTTCATTCATAATTCCGACGTTGAGTTAAATTACCATCAGTTACTAATTTTCCCTACAGACATGAATGCAGCGAAAAATACACTACAGGTTTCGCGTGACAGCATCTTTAGCAGCGAGATGCGAGACAATGCACTCACCAGGGAGAGGCACCTCTGTGAAGCTGACAGTGAGCGTTGCCCGTAAGTTCTCCAGATGCTGCTGCAGCGCCATGTTGTTGTTCCGCTGCTGAACGCTGTCCACCTGTCGAGTGAGTGAGTGTGAGCGAGAGTCGAGGTAATTCACGAGCACGTAGCAGCGGAAAGGCAATAATCTCGCTGCCACATCGGCATGAGACCGATCACGGATTGAGGACCTATGCTAGTGGAAGAGTCATGAGTCAGGTCATCATTATTTTGTAAGCGCCGGCCATGCAGCCCGTGAGCCACGGCGCGCTCCTTACTCACCTGTAGACGTTCGATGGCCGCCTTCAGGTTGTCGATGTGTTTGGAGAGTATAGCGTTCTGCTCCTCATACTCCGTGTTGGACTTGCGAAGAGCACGCAGCTCTGCCTCTCTCACTAAACAATGGGAAAAAGAGTATAATAACGTGGGTAGGATAACAACACACATGTTAATAACAGATGTACGCAGGCACTCATTGTCCGCCCGCCCGCCCCGCACGCACTCACGCACACAAACGCTGCACATTATAGATAAACATCACAATGACATTTACGAATACTAGAGTTGCGAAAGGATAATATCCATTCTGCTCCGAGCAGAAATTTAGCAGGCATTCACAATGCAGGAAAATATGTTCTTGGTGGTCCTTTGCTTTTTCCATCTTACATGTTAAGGCCACAATTAAAAAAATATTTGTTTGCCCTCACCCGACCCAGGCTGAAAAGTTTGGGTAGGTAGGTAGGCTTTTATTTTGTTTGAGGGGGGTCTTTTACAAATTTAGCATGGTGTCTACATTACATGATCGGGTGTGCTTGTGTGGAGATACGTTTTATGTTGAATGTTTGTTTTGCTTGGTACATATAATGTATTGCCTACAGATTTGTACAGTGATACAATTTGTAAAAAAAAAAGATTGGGAAAGATCAATAAAATTGTTTGAGTCGGCCCCTTTTTGGCGGGTCGGTCGGGTGAGCGCAAACAAACAATATTTTTATTATGGCCTAACTATCTGATATAATCTATGATCTAATATAAAGCTTTACCCTTTTGGTGGTCTAAAAACTCCTCTGTGAATATAGGAATGTCAAATCCAGGCAAGTCATCATCCTTATCATCGCCCTGCAATGGTTAAGTACCCTGACATCAGAGCTAATACTACAAAGTATGTTATCCAAATATCAATCGAATAAAATCGAAGCACTTTACGATGCTTACGTCTACGTAGCAATACTACATAGTATGCTATCCAAATATCAATAAAATAAAATTAAAGCACTTTACGATACTTACGTTTGCATAGCAATAAGTTCGCTATTAAAATAACAAGGCATGAGACTAACACACGATGCACAAAAGAATCACCGTGATACAACCACACAATCAGCATTCAACAAAACTCTACTGAAGAGTCTCACATCTCCAATCGAAATGCTACCAAGCAGGCAGCACCATATTATGCAGACGAACCCCCTTCTGTGTCGTCCAAGTGCTGTACAGCTTCAACGTGCGCTTACAAACAAAGCTGTTACTAGTCTCGCATAACAATTCCTACCCGGTGAACCATGACCTCACACCCTCCGAGTGATGCCGAACGGTCGCGCAACACACGAGCATCTCTTGGAGCTAATCACACTCGATTTTAGTGTAGTTCGTACTAAGTGTTCAGAACTGCGCGACATGTACTAAAAGTGTGCATCACTGCATGGCATGTAGTAAAATTGTGCAGAATTAAGCGCTATACACCAAGGCCCCTATTAATGTTGTTTCATTCAATGTTTTCTCATTGTTATGATGAATCTGCAACCTACAATTGCAATATACCTACAAGCTATGATCGCTATACACGTGTGAGCTACGATTGATACTCAGCTGATCACGCAATCTCACCTCGGCGCCACCGTTGGCCGAAAGGTGGTCGGCGTCGTCTGCGGCTTCCAGCTTGCGTTTCTTCTCGGCTTGCTTCTTCAGGAAGATCTTGTAGGCTTCAGTCTGTTGATACTGCTCCAGCTCCTTCGCATACCTCTCTCGGTCCTTGTCTGCTTCGTCCAGGTACCTCTGAGTACGGGGAAGCGGAAATGGGTGAGCAATGTGCGCAGGTTTAACTATTTTGTCTGAAGCCTAACCGGGTTGTCGTCAGAAAGGAAAACCGCTTTTAAGGTGTGGTGCCACAGTTGGCACTCGCAACCAGGCATGTGGTCCATCCCACCTTAGGGGTTAGCTGGGTTCCCATTCATTTATGTGTACGAACAAGATATGAAAACAGGTCTGACAATGCTGCCCGTTGTCATGCTCTGATGGGAGGAAATTCGATTAATACAAGTCAAGAGTTAATGTACTGAGCATTTTGCATTAAATTTCATTCATTTTCTTACCCTCATATCTGGTGATTTAATAACTTATATCATAAACTGCCTTTTCAGGATTACACTTTCAGACCGAGAATAGTATGGTCAACAAATAAAGAAAACTGTGCTAGATGGATAAAATGACTGAATGTATTTAAACTTAGTTCGTAATCAGCCTCAGAATAACATGACCGCGCCTGCCGTGGCCAGATCAACATGGCTTTTCACGTGTCAAAAAGCACTGAATGGTTATAACATGCGTATTATAGGCACATAATAAGTGCATTCAAACCTGCTTCTCCTCAGGAAGTAGCTTCCCCCAGTCGGTTGCCAGTATCTTCGTGATGTCAGCAAATGTTGCATTCGGGTTATCCTCTCTTACCTTCTCACGCCGATCGTTGAGGAATCGCACATAGCCTGCAAATAGAAAGAGAAACATACAGAGTAATAAATGCCTACACTCGTATGCAGCCTTAACCCATCTTTGTCTATGCACTTCCTTCTTATTACCTCCGCGAAGGGGTTGGCAGGAGGTTATGTTTTCACCGGCGTGTGTTTGTTCGTTTGTGTGTTTGTTCGTTTGTGGGTTTGTGCATTTGTGGGTTTGTAACACCGTTCTTTGTGTACAGCCCAACTAAAAAAGTTATGGACGGATTGTCATAACATTTTCAGGATAGGTCAGAAATGGGCTAACTTAGAATTGATTAGATTTTGGTGGTGATCTGGATCCAATTAATTAATTAATTAATTAAATTTTCAGGATATGTCAGAAATGGGATAACTTAGAATTGATTACATTTTGGTGGTGATCCGAATCCAATTAATTAATAAAATGTGCAGGATAGGTCAGAAATGGGGTAACTTAGAATTGATTACATTTTGGTGGTCATCCGGATCCAATCAATTATTTAATTAATTAATTAATTAATAAAAATGTTCACAGTGAGGAGAATTCAGCTGCCTCTCGGGCGAAGTTACTGCCCCGCTCTCGAGTCTTCCTAGTACCTGTAAGTTAACATGCCATAATTAAAATTGCTTAAATGTAAACACAGTGCCGCTCACTACGATCACGCGCGTCATCTAACCGTGCTCTACCTGACCCGGTGACTCTGGCGTGGCTGTGAAGTGTGGCGATTTCTAGTAAAACCCTGTCTGCCCAAATGTGGTTCACGATACATCGCCGACTACAGGTTGGAATCGCACAGTGGATTGGGTATCAGGAACCCTGTCTCTAAAAGTAGATGTTCGTTGGGATCGTATGAAATAGTTGTCACGATGATGCGCGCTACGTCTTTAAGTGGTCTCAGATATTTAATAGATGGAAGCCTCCCCATCATTTTTTAGTAGCAACAACTATCCTGCAATGACAGAATAGGTAAGCACTCTCATCCATTGTTACCTTATCTGCAAGTCTTACAGGGCCTGCCCGATATAGAGAGCTGCCACCTGCAACCATATTAGGCAAAAAACTCCACAGTATCCTAAACACATGCACTCTCGCCCAGTAAGCCACTGGCAGTGTTCCATATGCTCCCCCCCCGCCCTTTACATGTTAATCATACTGACCACTACAGAATGCCATATAACAATTATCGACTTTAACGGAGCCATAAACCTCCTCTTTAACCAAATTTATGCTTTATCGAAATTTCCACCGCTTGCGACCATCTGTAGCCTCATACATCCATGCATGTATAGATTTCTACTAGCAAACCGCGCAGTCAAATTCTTTCTACACAGACAGATCAACAACATCCCCATGTTTATTACCTCTCCTTCTGAGGGTCAAAAGGTTTATCAGACACTTACTTCTTCGGCACGTCACGTGGAAACGCAGATTTCCATCCGGTCCTTCAATAAAGCCATAAACAAATGATAGTCACCTGCATCCACTGAAATCAATAATAAGCTTTTCGCACATTCGCCTTGCCGTCAGACTCACCCGTTCCGGCGTGGTGTCTCTCCCAGAAAATGTTCTAAAATCTGTCCCTGGTGCCTCCTACTTGACTTTGTACTGCTGACTCCAATTATTCGCAGCAGGTGATGGTCTTTCCTACCATGATGTCTATTACACCGCCACTACAGCGTAGCCCGTACGCGTCGAGGCCGTTTTAGCACTTCTTCCGCGTGAGCTCCTTCTCTCCTGGCTTGCCCGCAATTTCTGCAGTTGTGCGTGTTATACCTTAAGTTAAGGACGCTGACTGTTCCGTCCCTTGCTTTTTCTGCCCTCTTGTACCTGTTACCTGTTGCACCCCAGCCAGCTTCCGACATCCCAACTCGTTTTCGCACCAGTTCCGCCTCCAACGACTTCCGAAATATCGTGGACGCGTACGTCGATCGTGCGCGGTCTTAAAGAGTTTGTGCCCCAACTGTGACGGGTCCGTTGCCCGACCGATCCGGGTCCTGCCCGTCCACGGACCGGGTTTCTCCCCGTGGCATTTCCCGTACCGCCCCGCGTTTTCTCACTGTGCGCCCACGATCAAAGTGATTCTTACCAAGGCTGGCATCTGACTATGGGTCAGAGTGAGCTACAAAATATACTACCCCTTCGTTTGCTTTCTAAAGAAACACTTTGCCTCAATATTAATTTAGTTTCGAAATTTGAACAACCGGTGCTAGGAATGCGATTTGGAAAGTAAATTTCCATGGATACATGACGGGATCATGAGTGAGCTTTTCACGAAAGCTTGCCAAAGTCGCCCAACAGCCATCTCTTAGTAGCAGCCATGTGGTACATGAGGATCTTTTATAAATCTAATATACTAGCTTGCGCTGAGAACTGCAGTGTACAGGAGCTGTCTTTTACATAGAAAAAGATTTTCTGCTCATGCGTTTTTTCTGAATTTGTAAATATCCATCTTAACCCTTCTACATTTTATTATAGACCTTCGTGCATTCCTTCATGGCTTGCTTGGACTGCGCGCCAAGCTTACAAATTTTGCGTAGTGTTTTTGTTAACAAGCGCCGTTCCTCCAAACTCCACACTCTTACAAATAAAAATTACGTAGTCCTCCTTGGACTAAACGTCATTACCAGTAAGTTCACTCATGTTTGCTCTTTGGTGCATTTCTATCTATCTTGCTCTTTTTGCGCTTTTTAACTCCTTTGGCCATCCACCTTTCTCTCGGTTCTATAGTCATTCAATAAAAGGGACAACACATCTTTATTGCTATTAACACACCATTTCTAAATGTATTATGTATTCAAATTTACTATCTGTCCTCTTAATATTATCTACTCCCTCTACATATATTAGGAATCCTTTCACATGAGCAAAGTTCCTTGGCCCCTTCCATGCGACCTGCTTCTCTGTAGGAACTTTGTTTAGACGCGAGCCAAAACTCATGACTCCAGTCTTCTCCTTTAGTAACTTACTTACTGCAATTGTGGGTTCTCATGTTCAACATACATCGGCGTGCGGAGACAGATGAGTTTCGACGTATTGATTTACATGATGAATTTTACACCTTAATTTTGATCGTATGTTACACAGTATCATGTTTTTATTCCAAAATTTAGGCTCCCTCCCCCACCGCTTCCACCATCAGTACCAGAGGCTACAGCCTACTGGGTCTCAGGCATGACCGCTGCAATGTTAGTTGCCAGTTTTGTTTAGTGAATACCATACATAG